AAGGATTTCTGTGGTTTTTAAAGGATTTTTTGGATTTTGATGGATTCAACGGATTTTGAGGATTTCATGGATTTTTTCTGGATTTTTTCCGGATTTTTTGACGAAGTGTACGGGATTTTTGGAGTGAATTGCCCCTCGCTTCATAAACTTGATATTCTGACTGGCTCATTTCGGCACTTCAGCCCTCAATCAACTCTAACTACACTCCACATTATAAAAAACATTTGTTCACATTCATATTTATATTGTAATAACATTCACTATTACTGTATTATTCAATCTTATTTTTATCTTTTATATAGTAACTGTAAAATTCAATCACTCCATATCTTGTAGAAAAAATTACCATATAATATTCTCTGCTGATTTTATAAACTTCAGTCCTATGGCTATTCAATATACAGCAAAAGTTTTCTTTGTATTTTGGTAGTTGTTCATCCAACATTTATTATAACAAAAAGTCAACATATTTATGGCCGGTGCTCGTCGTATTCCCAAATCAGTGATGTTAATTAAACAAATCTGTGCTCATGTTAATTCAAAGCTGAGTATGAATATGAAGTTTGTGGTGACCATTTTCTTCTTAGAAGCCGATTTTTTACAATTTTCAGAGGATTTTCAGTATGGTATGTCTTAATATGTATGAATGCATAACTGTTAACTTTTAATAAAACACAAAAATAGTTTAAAAATCCGTAAAACAGGGACATAAAATCGAAAGTAAAATAGTGAGACAATCTCTCGTCTTAGTATCCGTAGCCATTACTGCTTGGTTTTCAGTCACTTTGACAACATTCAAGAGGGAAATATGCACTAAATTTTATCAACATTCATTGAAAACATCACATCTTACCTACTACTTGATTTAAATAAATAAAGTTAGCAAAACCTACTGCTTTTGTGGGGTTTTCCTGGAGAAAAACTTTTAAAACAAAACAAACAAGAAAATCGAAGACAAAGTGTTTATCCGCGTTTGCATGACGTCACAAAATAGCTTATGCACGCTGACGCCATATTATTATTAGAAAGGTCTATTAAACTGATCATTATATATGTACAATTTAAAAATGTCTTTGCTTTGTTTAACACATGAATATAGTTATTGATCATTAATACTAAACGTCAATAAATAATATATACTAGTACATGTGTAAGACACTGTGAGTCATCTATTCACACCAGTATCAAAGAATCATTCTATGAACCACACCGTATACATGTACATGCGTACAATATTTCTCGATATGGTCTACTTTCCACACCCTGTGAAAATTGACAATCTAAGAAATCCCATTAACTTAATAATGCCTGCATAAATGTCACACCATATACCCAACACGTGTAGAGTTTCTTTTACCTACCTCTAAATTACAATATACCCAGACACGGATACCAAATTATTGGATTAATCAACCATTGCCAATTTTAATAGTATAGATTACTGAATGTCAAAGTTAGAAACAATGTTTGGAGACAATTTAGAGACAGTTAGAGACAATTCAAAGTCCATTTACAATGGCTGGAGAAGTCTCTACTGACATGACCAAGACCTCCACCTGACCATTGTTATCTATCTCCCCAATAATCACTCCTCCCAATTTAGGAGAAGCACCCGAACCATACGCCATGATATTGGGATTTAAACCAACCTGTGCTGGTTGTTGAAACACCATTTCATCATCACCAGTCTCCTGTATTGGAGGCCTCCGATCACACTCAGGGTCATACACCACAACATGATTTTCACCAGCCAGGGATGACGTTGCCATCATTTCTCTCTGTCCGTGCTGCTGTGTCCCTTCTTGATTTTCCACAATGCCCTCTTCATTGTTATCATCAGAATCTTGCTTGCTTGACGTAGCACTTTCACGTCCTTTATCCATATCTTTGTGATCTAGGAACGCAAAGATAAGATCATTTCAAATCTGTACGTCAAACTTAAACAGTTCTAATCAGGAATTTTGGCTGATGTAACAAGCACTTTTCCAGGCTGAGTGAAGAAAACTTTGAAGACTTTTATACTTTCGGTCGAAATTTTCTCTTCCAACAGATGAGGCTCCATGTGAAACTGGAAGGCGCACTGAACTAGGAGATTAGGGGTATCAATTGTCCAGTTGCCATCACAGAATCTTTTGATCTCACTACTTAGTACATTGTAGCTAATGTAGTTCTAGGTCATAATATACCCCTAAACTTGATTAATGAAATGCAGTTATCTTTGAGTAAAGCAATGTGAGCCAAATTTTCTTTGTACTTTGTTGTTATTTTGTATCTTTCACAATCCACTGAAGCAGGGTCTTATTACAATCCACTGAATTAAGCAGGGTTTTATTACAGTCAAACACGGTCATATACTATAAAATTTTGTATTTGAAACCTTGAAACAAAATGTTTTTATTCCAACTTAAATTTTTAGAAGAATAAGTACGCTATAATACTTTCTGTTTGTAGAAACACCACGTAAATTTATGCAAAGCTTTCGATCCGTAAGCCCAAATCTTCATCAGTGCTGATAATATGCGACTTAAATTCACTCGCCCCTTCTATATATCGTGATCTGATAAGTACGTTGTGTAGTCAAAATCTCACCTTCTAAGTCTTCTAACGAAACTAGAGATTTGAGAACTACCGTATGACACCGATGTCAAAACACGCATAGTTGAAATATAAAACTTTACCTTTCACTATATTTCGCATGGTATAGACTAAAATATATCTATATTTAAGGACATAGCTGTTAGTTTACAAATTGAACGAGAAACAATATACTTACTTTTTTCTACAAGTACGCTGGATTCAATGCAGTGTCTGGCAATGCAGACAAGGCCGCATACGCATGCGTGTCGAAGATCGATATTTGCAGACACTTTTGGATTTTTGGGTCAATTGTGTATCAATTGTTTTTATACTTAATTATCCTCTTTATCCCCGACATAAATATGTACCATTTATAGTTTACGTGAGACATACATGTAATTCACTTTAAACAATGCCCACACCTCAAACCTTTCAATTCTTGCGTCAGACAAAAGCATGTATAATTGTTTTTCCCATTCTGTTTTTAAGTATATCCCTGTAAAGGTTTATACCTTTCTCACACATAGCTACAATGTATGAATTGTTTCGAACAAGTCATTTCATATTAACTTGATGGTAATTCCATTTCATATTAACTTGATAGTAATTCCGATGACATCGTAATACGTGTTGCTTTCGGAATCAATTGTGTTGGTATACTCGTATATACCATCATTTCTGTTATGAAAGTAGGCAGATTTCGAGACTTCCGCAAAATACCCTTCATGTTTCCCATGTCAAGATAATAACTTCGCAGTATACATTCCCAATACACATTCCATCACAAGCAGAATGACTGATCGCCCATGTATCGCTATTAGATTCCTGATCTTTCTGGCTTTTCGCCCTTATACGCATACTTATGTAGCTATAAACATTTGATCCATTATAAGTATTCTATCGTGTTGGTTTTTGTCTGTTTTTCCCACGATCAAACAGTTGGCAAATTAAGCCCAACATTCTGTCTGTCTTTTCTCTCATATATTTTACTCTAATTATTCTATTATAATGCATGTAGCTATTTCAGAGTTCCCGTTGAGCTTTTGTAAAAGATTTGTGTCACCCCCAAACTATATGAACAGGTTATGTGATTGGTTGATTATTACAATGAAACACGATAAATGAATGAGTCACTGTTTTAGCAAGCCAATCACAGCATGATTATTTTAGCCTTTACACTTACCAAACGACTTGATGTGACGTCATGTTTCATATGAGAAAATATTCTATCACTGCGATAGAATTATCTGTTTATACAGAGATGAATTGCATGTATTAATCGCTGATATCTGGAAAGATTATATTGCTGTTATCTTCTTAAGTTATCACTTTGTACATGTTTATATGTTTCGATAACAGATCTTAAACCAGCCTTGTTACGGCGTTTTGATCGTTGAATAAGTTATACTTTAACCAGCCCCGGTCAAACGAGGTGTTTCAATTACTGAACAATCGAATCTGCCTATATAGCAATAGCTTGGGATAAAGGTTCTAATCTGCATGTATTTGGTTTAGGGTGATAAGTGAGATCAGATTAAGGATTTGGGACCAGGATATATACCCAACCTCGTACCCAGGCTATTTTCTTTGAGAAACTATTTGTAATTTGGAATCTGTTTGGAAGCTATTTAAGAATTAAATTCGAATCAACGGCATATACTTGATACAAAAACATGCTACAAACATTGCAGGCTTGAAAACGGAAGCGAGGTAGCGAGGGGGCGTGACTAAAACACCACATGAGTTGCATACGACTTATTCACGGGTACATACGAGTAACACACGAGTACATAACGAGTACACACGACTTGCATCGTAAACTCGTTGTAATTAACATCGTCAATGCTTCCCACACTCGTTTTCTTTCACTTTCGCTTTGTAATTTAATATTCACTAACTTTATAAATATGGATTCCGCTGAAGGAAAGTTAAATTCGTTTAAAATAAAATGACAAGTTGTATATATTTTCATATTAGTGTTTATTTTCTAGTTGCATGTCTAGTTAGTAGTTTTGTTAATAACTAGTTTTGCATGAAAATGACCAAACATTCCAGTATTTTTATATAGATTGAGAGTTTCTAATACTGTATATTTAATCAGTTCTTGTAAAAATATTCATATTTTTATTAACAAAAAGTTATAGTTGCGCTGACTTCATAATAATTTATATCGCGATTTATATATGTATACTAGTTAAAATTAGACACACTCGCAGTACAAATAGTATTTCATAGTTGTTAATATACATAAGAGTAAGATAAGTTAGAATCACATGGCTGGATAAATAAGAATAACAAAATTATTTAATCTAAATTATGCATTGCCATTGGGAATTATTGATATTATTATTTGTCAGTTTTACAACAGCAGGCCTCATTATAACAGACGTTAACTAACGTGGCGTGATTGCAACAAATGCATTTCAAAGCAGTACTATATGTCGAATTTGGTCAGAGATATTTATTTCTATATATAAAAGTAAGATTTTACCTTGTATTAGACGAAGACGTTTGTTGCAATGTTGCCGGGACAAAATTCTGGACAGGATTATACAGTTTGCTTTTAAAACCCAAAGTTCCTCTTTTCTGCATCATTCTGGTATATTGTGCTATCCTATATAATATTATTCTATTCAGAGTTCCCGTTGAGCTTTTGAAAATTGTGTTTATGAACAGGTTATGTGATTGGTCGATTATTACAATGAAACACAATAAATGAACGAGTCGCTGTTTTAGCAAGCATAATTATTTTAGCCCTTCATGTGACGTCATGCTTCATATGAGAGAATATATTCTTCTAATTTCCTGTCACTGCGACAGAATTGAATGTTTATACAGAATGTTTATACAGAGATGGGCACGGATTAATCGCTGATATCTGGAAAGATTATATTGCTGTTATCTTCTTAAGTTATCACCTAGCTTTTGACGTGATTATATGTTGCGATTACAGGTCTTGAACCAGCCTTGCTACGGCGTTTTGATCGTTGAATAAATTATACTGTTATACTTTAACCGGCCCCGGTCAAACGAGGTGTTTCAATTACTGAACAAATCATAATTGCATATAAACTATTGCTTATAGCAATAGCTCGGTTGAGGATAAAGGTTTAATCTGCATATATTTGGATTAGGGTGATAATATAATACTAATTAACATTTATACCTCTCGAATATAACACTAACATATACTTGTAATGTCAGAAATGCATGCAGTCATTAAACAAAGTCAATTACAGAAGTCATGCAGTGTTTGTTCAAAGGCAGGTATGCCTGACATAAATACATGCTACAAACATTGATGTTGCAGTTGAAGATTTCAATTGTTCCTCGCTCCATGATACATTTGTTTCAAAGAACCAATGACGTAACACAATTGCGAAACGAGACAGGTGCAAAATTATTTTCCGCCTAAACCAAACACTAATTTCAAGAAAAAATTATTTAGTTACAGGGGTGCGGTGGCTTGGAATAGTTTACCTTGTGATCTTAAAAGATCTCAAACTATCCAATCTTTCAAAAATAACAACGAAAGTAATCATACTTTCCTGAAATAGTTATTCCGTATTGAAATAAAGTAGTAATAATAATAAAATAATAGTAAGATGCATGGAAGCGATGTATGGAGCGGGCTTTGAGATCAGACGTTTTAGAGTGTTCGACATGGTTAAACTGCATGACATATAGTAATAAGACATGAATTTCTAAAATATATAGTCTTGCATGTTTATGTTTTAACAAAAAGTTATGTAGTTACTCACACATTATAGTTTAATATTAGTACCTTGTAAAGTGCAGGACGATGACTTTCTTTGCTGATGGGAGATGCTTCAATCTTGGACAAAATTACCCAAATATCGTTCAAACTGTATTCTTTCTGAAAACTTTGACACCTTTTTTGCTGCCGAAGGCAGCACACTATTCTTGACGATGTGTTTTTCTCGCACCAGTCCGTTTCCGGCTCGCGAGTTATGTGGATTCAACAAGTCATTTTTGGGAATCTTGTACGGATGATCAGATTTATGACGTATTTTGACGTCACAGAAATTTTAATGTAAAAATAACATACTCCAGATCGCGATTTGACTTTCCGAATACCCTGGTTGAACCTCGCGAACACCACAATGGATCATGACAATTTGTAAACATGTTTACATGTACGCATTGTGTCGCAAATTTTTTGTCTGGACTCTCATGGTTGTTTGTCGAAATATTTTTGAAGGAATTCAAGGTAAGATAAAAGTTTGATCACAAATAACAATGAGTTTTGGTCGATACGCGTTGAAACTTGAAACGAATGAATCAGTGGCGTAACTACTATGGGCTCAGACCGGGAGAACCCGGGGGCCCCCAACCCAAATGGGGGC